CCTCTCAATTATTTTTAAAAAACTTGCATGGAATTTTTCCAACGCTTAATGATAAACGTTAAGGGGTTAGGTAACTGAAATGTTAAATTTGAATTCAATTTATACATATGTACTTATAATTGGTAACATAGACGGTGCGTCTGACTCGCGAGTCAACCGTGTACGTGTTGACTCGCCTTTCCACTGCATACAGTTGAATCATTCAGAGTCATGTCGGTGTAACTTACACATATTTATTTTCACAAACAAATCCAAACCGACTCGCGAGTCAGACGCACCGTGTATGCCGCCTATATGAAATTGCATGTCATTGATTAATTTGTGAACAATGAGTACTTAGAGTAAATCCACGTAGGGGCTATGAATACTATCATTTGCGCATAGCTTGATTGAGGCCCTAAAATGGCTGTTGTATTACCCGTTATGTTCAATTAGGCGCATTATACTGAATAAATAAATAAATCGCACGTATATACATACATATATGCATATTTTATGGTTGGATAAGAGCTGAATAGCTTAAAAATTTTGAGTAATAAATGAAAACAAAAAAGAACTAAGCCAGCATATTTAGTAATATGACAAGCCTGAAATAAGAAACATTGTAAGATGTGCGAAAAATTTGGTATGGAAATAAATAATGATAAATTTGAAACGAGCTGCTCTATATGTATGTAATTCATTTTCTTCCTAGAAGGGGTGCAAAGATGTTATAAATTATTTAACGTGCCACACGGAGCATTCTCAAGTGACTCTTGCAACTGCTTGTGGGTTTGGGTCTTTTAAAAGGAGGCTTCGCACATAGTTAGAATTGGTTTAGAGAATGAATTAGAACCCGATTAGAATTCAGTATTAGAATACGATTACATACATACATATCGTCGTTTAAAGTACAAAACCGCGTATCGTCATTCTGCAAAACCGTGTAACTGACATTGGCTGCCGCCAAAAATTGGATTTACTCACACAAGCTCTTGGCTCAATCCTTATCCATTCGTCCTGAAATATACTAGCCAGAAATGCGATTGCTTTATAAAAAAGAGAACCATTTTGAAATATGAGTGTTTTTACGCTCTAGAAAATAATTTCTACAACTTCACATACGCGGTTTTGCATTTTGTTGGTACGCGGTTTTGCATTTTAAAAGACGATATCTAGCCTCGGCCAAACACTTAGCAGAAGTGTAAGCGCAAAAATAGTTTTTTATTGTCCAACCTTTTTCTAGATATCGACAACTAAGTACCCTTTTTGTAGAGCATGCTATAATTCTCGACAGTTTCCCTAATCACCTTCTAACCTTATACCTAAGAGAAACCTATTAGAATTCGAATCGTTTTCTAATCGTTCTGCAACCAAAATGTTTGCTGGGTCTTCGGTACACGTTGTCTACCTGCACGGCCAATATCATGAAGCTTCTCTGGAATAGTTCCCGCGAATGCCCTAGGGTTTTCACTTTTTAGTTCAACAGCATCGACATTTTCGTGACAGGTGAACGACAGGCATTCTAATTTTTGTACCAAGCCCTGTATATCACGTCTTTATATGTTTTATACTTCGTTTTAAGTTTTGTTAGTGAGACGAGCTGATGTCCAAAAATTTACACACGTTTTCAGGTTAGGTAGCTTTTCATAGATGGTATCTGTCTGTGTGTCAATTTAAGTTGTTTTTCATGCAGTTGAATTTTCAGCACAGAAGGCACACGGATAACGCCCAATCAGCTCGTAGGTTATAAGCAGCAATCTTCAAAACGGGAGTCGGTGCCTTTTACTAAATAAATGTCAAGGAAGAATTTTGCAGAAAGTGGCCTTCTGATGCCTTGTGAAGTATCAAGAGCTGACGGGAATGTAACTATTAAACAGCATTGGGATATCATCGAGGAAAACATGTTACAGGCAACTGCTAAAAGCAGAGCCAGAAAGCATGGTTTTGTGTTTATCAGTACAAAAAAAAACGCGTACGTACAACTACTGGATCCCGCGGCACACGACCCAGAAACCCTACGATGACAAAAGCCTTGTGCCCTCATAGGCGCAAAAAGTTCCTTGGCATTAGACTCACCTATTCGGACAATAACAACTGACGGAAGTCCATGAAGGATTGACTAATGCTGCTACGACAACAACGACGCAAAGACTCCGAACTCAGTAACGACATAATGCAGATGAAAAGCCTCATTTGTCTTGTTTTTGTTACGTCCTTCCTACATCAGAAGTAGTGTTCGTCCGATCCCACTTTGTACTCGATTCCTAACTGATTAATGCTATCAAAGCAGGTACAAAATCTCGATTCTACTTACATATATTTAAAGGTACTCAGATGAAAAATTTTAAAGTAAATGGCCGATTTTTTTTCTTAGAAAATAGTCGTTTGCAAGGAACCGACGACGCAACAACGCAAAGTAACCTTTTGCCTGAAAAATTACCTTTCAGATCCTTCTATTTGGAAATGGGGTTACTTGGAAAGTTTGATCATCAATTGTTTTATAACTATGGCAACAAATACTTGCACATTGTGGATACTCGAAAGCCACCAAGTACTAGTACTCGAGTATATATGTATTTCTAAGTACTGGTATCAGAACAACACTAATCAGAAGTAATACCACAGCACAAACTTTTACATTTTGTAGAATTTACCGCGGATGTCAAAAAAAAAAAACTCACTAAGGTGCGATTCATCGTTCCTAGTCTGAACTTTTCTTCATGCGGTTGTCGGAACCAACAAAAAAACAGTTCTGAACCAAAACGCTGAATCCGCCTTAACCTCTTTCCTTTTTATTTCGATACTTCAAAATAGCATGTTGTTATACCCACACTTTAGATGAAATCGAAAACGAGTAATGGACCAACCCACGCTTTCAATGCTTTTGCAAAAAATATTATTGAACCCCATGATATTTGTGAAATTAAATTCAGGTTCCATACCCTGATCGGGAATTCAACGGTTTTTATTTTAATTTTAATTCAATTACATGCTTAAAATGTGTCACAAAAAAATATAAGCGATCAAGCATTAAAGCCACACTCCTGTGCGACGACAATTTGTAACCCTTGTTGTACCTATTTCGCCCGTGTAATGCACAGTACACTCAGCACCATTATTCTCAAAAGATCGTTCACCGATTTTATACTCCGGATTAAGGGCAATACGAAGAATATAAGTTTGATTCGTCGGCAAGCCCGTCACATCGACCCATTGGCAGTCCAATTCAGCAGTATACGAATCGGCACAGCCAATCGAAATGCCTATTAAGTAACGATAATTATACACACAAACAAAAAAGGAAATATTTACCTTCCGCCCACTTACCTTGTGTCTCATTGCCGCACGTGTATCTCGGACTAACGCTCTGGTGCACAACTCGTGTCCATCAAACAGAATGAGGCCTTGTGTCCCTGTGCCACTTTTCTATAGTTCAAATCGTATATATCGAAGGTGGCGAATACGTTCATGCTGTGATAATGTTGATGGCACTGGTGCCATTCCCAATCCCTGTAATTGGAATAAGGA